ATTGCTCGGACTGGGATTCGAACCCAGAATCTTCCGAAGACATGTCGGCTACTCTACTATTTGAGCTATCCGGTCTATACTAAATTTCCTTTCACTTAAGCCACACCGTCCATCTTACGGTTAGCATTTTTTAACAAATATAAATAATGCTGTGAATCGGGAAAGAATAGGAGTTACGGATAATTATTACGTGAAGCGTTCCAACTTATGAATTATTACGTGAATTCATTCATATGAATTATCACATATGAAATACACTATTCACATATGTGTAACAAGTACGTCTTCTTTGTATGTCCTCGTTTCGATCCACAGCGTGAAGAGTTGGAGAGGATCCTGAACCAGAAAATGCAACCAGATTCACTAGTGGAAGCAATGTTGTCATCAGAAGCTGCCTGGAACGCTACCAACACGTTTGCAACAGAAGTCCTCAAAGATTTGCGTTCCACCGAAAGAAGATGAGCAAATAGCAGAAGATAGAAGGAAGGAAGTTAACACCTTAGCCACCAGAAGGAAGAGCAGCAGCTAGATCCTCCGTTCACGAAGTAATGCCTGACGGCGGTTTCCATGAGGGATTAGAAGAAAGAAGGAAAAGGGGCTTAGGCTTTAGTGAGTAGGGGCGTTAGCGTCGAGTTTTTAATATGACGCTGCGTCGAGTCACCACATATCCAGGCCAAACAGCTATGCCTGGAATCCGTAAAAAGGATTCCCCCCCAAGGAAAAAAAAAACACACACACGCGAACACACACGCGAACACACCCCAGCGAAGAAGTTGATGCGTTAATTGACGTGTGTGATGTTTTGAAACCGCTTGTGCGAGTATTCCTTTGATTTATGGTCTCATAAAGGTAAATTACAGTTATACTATAAAGTTTGTTGCAATTTCATATTGATTTGAATTCCTATTTACTTGCAATTGATATTATATTTTACAGAAAATTGAATGTTTGACACCAGATACTTTAATTGGACGACAATTGAAAAAAAAATATCTCAAGAAATAGACGTAAAATATGGGAACATTATGTCTGTTAAGTTATATGTTTGCGCGACACTGGTTAATCCTCGGTACAAGAAGTTTGCTTTTCGAAATATTTGAGAGTCTGCTCTAGCGATAACTAAAGTAGGTAAGTTAACTCATCAGTAAAAAACGGATTCTCATAAGTTCAATTATCTTCTATCAAATTTTAGCTAATACTTTCGCAATTCTAAATACCCTTTCATTTTATTTTTCCAATGTAGGTGATATCGTTATGATTGAAAGAAGAGTGGCATTAGAAGCAACGACCACTTTAGTAAGTATTAAAGAGAAAGAAGCTATGATCTCTCTTCAAGTTCAAGAATTCCAAAAAAACGATGATAATGATTTAGGGAATTATCTTGACGATGCTGTGAGCTGCAGTACCTCTCAGGCAGATACAGACGAAGCAGGAGGATTACCAATTCAATTGCGTCAATACTTAACACGCCTGTCTGTAAATCGAAAGCACAATCCCAATCCATTCGTTGTTTGGGAGTTAATGAAACACGAATATCCATACTTATGGAACGTTACTAAAAAGTTTTTACCGATTGTAACAACCTCTGTACCTTCTGGAAGGTTGTTTTCGCATGCCGGTCTTATTGCAAATTAACTACGGAGCTGCTTATTATATCAGCATTTGAATGAATTTATATTTTTACGATCAATCGATGAAGATGTGTTTTTTCAATTATTTAATTTTAACGTTCAATGCCAAATTACATGTAATTTATCGATAAAATCAATAAATATCTTGTTGAATTGTTAAAAATAATAGTTATATGTTAATTACTTTTATAATCATATGTTACTGAAGTGTCTAAATAATGATTTAACATCCTATAACACCCGGTCTCAGCATATCAAAATAAAAATATAATGTATCTTAGTTCTGAGTAATTATTAATACAATACATTAATTAGTAAATTTTTAAAAAGTCAACTTTAAATCGATAAGTCGATTATTAAAAAAGATTAATTGACTTCAAGGTTCGAAGAACTGGGTGACGCCCGCACGAGGGTGCGTTCTAACTAGAGGCTCAAACCGAGGACTCAATATTAAAAAAAAACTATTTAGCTGCGTGAGAGAATACCCGGTCACTAGCTAATTGGGCGATCCGCACACTTCGGGGTCAGGCTGACGAGAGAGAGAGTTTATGCGAAGTTCTTTTGGGACTCGAATTTTCGGGCGTTTCCAAATTACTATTTGGGGGAAAACAGTATCCAATTAACTGTCTATTTCCCTTAGATTCTACCCTCTCTCCCGAGTCTTCTAAAGATGTTCGCTTGAACTCGCTTCTTTGGGCCCAGAGGCATGGTGTGCCTCTCCCTCTTACTTATAGGCTATATGTATACTTATGTGTTGGTGTACGTGCAAGTACATTTACATACACACAAATACATAGTTTCTTTAGTTAACTAAGTCCTTTATTTTATTATTAATTAATTTATTTATTGATAATAATATTCATTATCAATAATTAGTTATTATTCTTTCAGATTATTTAAATATTTTCTATTGTTGTAATTATTGTTTTTTACTAACGGAATTATTTAAATTATTTATGTTATTATTATTTTAAAATTCACTGCTAACATTTATTATTATTTTCGGGGCTTCCTTAAATTATTTTATTTTATTTGTCTCTAGAATTTTATTTTATTTAAAACGTTAAAATTTCCAAAATCCTTGTAGATAATGCTAGTCAATACAGAGGGCAATAAAACTTCCATTTACTTATGTATTTAGGATTTTTAATCTCTAAAGAACTTGGATCTGTCTAATGACGGGAATTTTTTTAGATAGTCCAGACGAGACTCTTAATGAGTTTTCTCATTATTAGTGTCTGCTATAAATTTTACTTTCTAAAAAATATATTTTAAAATTAATAAAAATTCGTATTATTTTAAGACAAATAAAAACGTTAATTTAGCCACGACGTAACACATATATTGCGTGAGTAATGCAAAAAGGGCGTGAGGCAAAGTATGCGCCCTTTTTGCTTTGCAAAGCTAAAAGGGCGCATAATTTTTTTTTATCCCCGATCGACTAGTTGACATATTCTTTGTCGAAAAATTAAACATTGATTTCCTGAAGCTAAAAGGGCGTATGTCTCTAATTATGCGCCCTTTTAGCTTTAGGAATTTGAAAATTTTATGAGCTAAAGCTAAAAGAGCTTATAAATTTTTTTTCTATATAATTCATTAAAATGCTCATTTTTAGCCTAAAAATTAAAAAATAACGGTTGATTCACACGAAAGAGGCGTATTCTAACTCAACATACACTCTTTTAAAATTACAATTAAAAATATTTTTAGAAAATTGCAAAATATGCGTGATTGTATTAATTTATTTTTTATTTGAAAATTATTTCAATCCCATTAGTTTTCGATTAATTAAATTATCCATTGCTTGTATAAAAATAGTTAAAAATTATTATTTTTTTAATATTGTTTAAGTACTTAAAAACAGCCGATCCCCTCTTTTTCTCGCGTCGCACTCACTGCAAGAAACAGTACTATCCTCGGTGCATTTATGATTATAAAACTATTGAAGTTTTATGTTTTTCTTTTAAACAAATGACAATTTTTAAAAAAACATCCTGCTATACGAAATAAATAATTAAAAAATCTATTACGTAGCAGAGTGTTTTTTTTCAAAATTCTTCTTTGTCTAGAAGAGAAATATAAAGATGCAATCGTACGCGAAAAGAACAAGATGACACTGGATATCATCCCGGATTATACTAAGTAAAAAAAAAATTTCAAATAGTACTTAGTATAATCCAGATTACAATGAGTATAATCCAGATATCACACATTTAATCTGGATTCTTTAGCTACTATCTGAAATTTTTTTTCACCACAGATATCACTGAGTACAACCTGGGATGGATACCTAGTGTCATCTTGTTCTTTCCGTGTAGGGACCGGCTGTTAAGAATTTTTTTTTTATTCATTAAAATTTTTTATTTTATGTCTTGTAAAGCTATTTATCTGAACAAAAACAGTTTCTATGTAATAAATTGCGCCAAGTACACGTTCACAACTTTTGATTTACAAAAATACCAATGAGAAATTATCACTTTACAAAAAGACGTAAAATCAAAAAAAACAGACCAAGTAGCCGTTATGATTTTTAATAATTGAAAAAATTTTGTAGTAAATTTAACAATTAAAAACAATTTTTTCAACGTACTTGGCGTGCGTCATTGAGTACCCCAAATTTTTTCATATCTGATAACTAAGGCCAAAGAACTAGTGATTCGAGTGGACAAATACCCGGTTACTAACCGGTAAGTTATTTGGCTATTTAACCGGTAAAATATTAATTTAAATGATAAATATCTACTTGTGTCGAATGTGTATATAGTTTAGCATACTAAGTTTTAAAAGCAATATGGCGTACTGTTCTCTACGTATAATAGCTTTTTTTTTGTTAAACAACCATAACTTTTTTGAAAATTGACTTATTGGGATGTTTTTTTGTTTTAATTTTTGTTTTAAAAGGTACTTTTTAGAAAAAATAAATCAGAATAATAATTCGGATTCATATTTAACGGTTTTTTTTAAACTTTTGGAAGAAAACGATAATTTGGGGATGATGCTCATTTTTGATTTTAGATTTATTTTTTTTATAAATACCAATATTTTCTGCGAATTTCCTGAAATTTTCAGTGGCATTTTTTTTTCTTTCTATCTTCTTTTATATAAATAAAAAAAAAATTTTTTTTCAATATTTGTTTTTCGTTATACCACTCTTAAAATTTTTCAGTAGATTTAAAAAACTTCAAAATCTGAGAAAAAAAAATAACGAAATCTGGAAAACGGTTGATCCTAAAGGCCATCCCTGCAACTTCCCACTAATTCCATATCAAAGCGCTTAAAATTGCACTTATGACGTTTTTGAGCTCTTCGACCTCAAAAATAGAATTTGTGTTATTTTGAGCTCTCCGAGCTCAATGAGTTAGCTATTCTAAACTTTTGAGCTCTTCGAGCTCAAAAGTCTAATAGAAGTTTAATAAAACAGTATTCTTAGAATTTTCAAACCACAATAACTTTTGAATGAATGAACCGATTTTCACACGGTTATAAGTTAATAAGTTGAACCCAGTAAGTTAATTTTTAATAAAGTTATGCTTATTTAACAAAAAAAAAAAGATATTTTTATTGAATAACTCGTAACTTTTTTTGGTTGAGTAAGAAAATTTGAAAATTATTTTCAATAGGGTAGAGAAAGATACGAAAATTTCAGAAAAATCGTCATCATATAAATTTAGCTAATGAGAATGATGAGATGTGAGTCAACTCATCGGTCGTATGGTGTAGGGGTTAGTTACCAGTCTGTCAAACGCGCGGCTCGGGTTCGAATCTCGGTTAGAGGAGATTTTCACTTTATTTCTATAATTAACTAATGTTAGGTCTAAATTAAAAATCAAACGGTCTGAATTTGCGATAGCTCTACATCAAAAATAAAATTAAAATATGACACTGATGAAATTCTTTTTTTATCATTTTTTATCAAATGGTTTGAGCTGGTCATAGCATGCCGCTAACGGCAGCCATTTGTATCTGGATCCATTCCCCTTTTCTTTCTTTCCCCTCGCCTACATCATATTAATCAATAAGAATCTTTTTTACGGTAGAGATGTAGTTTCAGTAGGCTTAATTTATGGTTCTAAAACTGTAATTTCGGCCTAACTTTGGTAAAAGCGGACAAAAATACCACTTGTAGGCTGAAATTATGGTTCTGATATACGCGTCATCGTAGTCAAAAAAATCTAAAACCATAATTTCAACCTATAACTCCTCCAGTAGGTTGTGGAGGCTCAAAATAGGTCCACTGATGATTGGTCCCACGTAGTGATGTGAAGCAAAGCATGTGCTCGTCAAATGCTCGTCATTTGAGGTCAATTGACCAACTGAAAAAAAATGACCGCCGGTCATTTTTCGAATTAAATGACGATTTAATTTAAAAGCTAAATAAAAAAAATTTTAAAACTTGACCAAAAAATGAACGAAAAATTTTTGACAGTCATTTTCCATCTACGTAGTTGAGCAAGCCAGATTTGTTTACTACCGTCAGAATTTTTAGATAAATATTGTGTTTGCATTTATAGATATAGTGATTGATTTTAACAAATAATCTGTAGAATCAATTTCAGCAAACAAATTTTACCGGATTTTGAAGTCCAAAAAATTGACCAAAAAATGACCGAAAAATTTTTGACGGTCATTTTCCATCTAAGTAGTTGAGCAAACCAAATTTGGTTATTACCGTCAGAATTTTCATACAAATTTTGTTTTAAATATTTAAAATATTGAGATTGCATCTGAAATAGATTAGTTTGTCTTTTTTTTAAGAGAAATTTTAGTAAAAAAAAAAAAATGCTCATGAATTTTTGTGATTGACTAAAAAAAAATGACGTCAATTGACGAGCAAATGCTCGTCAATTGCTCGTGATTTGACCAAAGTTGAAAATGACCGTCATTTCGCATAACAAGTTCCACGAGAATTCACCCCCGACATTCCACCCCCCGATTGTGTCGCTGACTTGTCTATATGACAAATTTAACTACAAATTAATATTTTTTATTTACCGTAAGATGGAC